CTGCTGAATGGCTCCCTTTCTTTCTCTCTCTTTCTAGGGCCGAGGGGCGCCAAGGAAGCTCCTGGGGGCCCGGCCGGGGAACTTCCGGACGCCGCGGGTGCCATGACGGGGGAGGACCGCCTGAGCAGCGCCTCGCAGGAGCCCCCCAGCCCCGAGTGGCACGAGTGCCCCGAGTGCGGGCGCGGCTTCGGCACGTCGCGGGCCCTGAAGGTGCACCGGAGCTACCACATCGGGCGCAAGCGGCCCCACGGCGGAGGCGGCGGGCCCCCCTCGTCCCCCTCCCTCCTAGGCCCCCCTGGCGCCAAGGCCCCCCCACCCCCAGAAGGTCCCCCCTCCCGCGGCAGGGCTTTCCACTACATCTGCGCCGAGTGCGGCCTGGGCTTCGCCTCCCCGGCCTCCCTGGAGGGGCACCGCTGCGAACACGGCTGGCGGCAGCGGGGGGCTCTGGGGGTCCTCCCCCGCCACAAGCCGGCCCCCTCCCCTGCCCCCTCCCTTGTGGGGGGGCAGGCCAACGGGGGCGCCGAGGGGGAGGAGGAGGAGGCGGAGGCGGAGGGGCCGTACCACTGCACCGAGTGCCCCGGGGAGTTCGGCCTGGTCTCCCAGCTGCACCAGCACTACATGCTCCACGCACGGGGGGAGTTGTAGGCCGCCCCCTCCCTTAATAACCCTCCCTGGGGGTCAATTCTATATTTTTATTGTGAATAAAGGCGTGGGGAGGGGCAGCCTCTCTCTTCAAGAGCCTCCCTCCAGGTGTTGAGGGCTTCACTGCTCACAATGACACCTCAAAGCAGGTGGGAGCAGGAGGGGGCGTGGAAAGGGGCGGGGTTATCTAGGCCCCGCCCCCAAGGGAGCCCCTCGCCCCGCCCTCCACGCCTGTGTGTTTGGGATTGGCTTCTGTGGGCGTGGCCTCTGGGGATGGCGCCCAATCAGCACAAATCGTGACTCTTCCGGGGGAGGGAGGGGGGCCTGGTACAATAAAGGTGATTCTGGAGACGTCACTTCCTGTTGTGCCCAACTCTTTTCGGGAGGGGAGGGAGAGGGACAAGCTTTGGGTCGTGGGAACGTCAGGCTGGAGTGCGCATGCGCAGAGGGCCCCTTGACGTCATCGGGCTGTCCGAGGAGGTGCCTGCGCGGCCTCCTTTGAGCATAGAGGACCCCGGAAGCGAAGGTGGAAGGCCTCTTCCGGGCGCGTGGGACTCCATTCCCCAGAATTCCTGCTCATTGAAGGAACAAGCGAGGGCTTCTGGGAGTTGGTGGCTGCCTAATACATGGTTTATTTTTATTTATTTACATTTCTGT